AATAGGGAACAGCCAGAGGTCAAGATTGGGCTCTGGAGCCAGCAGCCGCCTGGGTTCAAATCCCAGCTCCACCTGGGTGGGTGGCTTTGGGAACATTCCTTAACTCTCTTGAAAGTTCCCATCTCAGATGGAAATCAAAATGCCTAGTGCATTGTAGTATCAAGGATCAAGTGGGTTAATTTCTTTAAAGGTTCAGGAAGAGTATCTGACACACATTACCTGATAATGGAATGACCTTCAGATCTACGACAAGCTCTCAGAAATGTTTGCTAACATTATTCAAGTCAGAGGAATGAATCATCCCTGACTCATATACCACGAAAAGGAGGAGGGATTTCAAAGGAGCCGCCGAAGATATTCTGTGCCTGTCTAATTGTTCAGACACTACAATCTCTTCACTTACTTCAGTGTTGAATGACACATGCAGAAAAAGAATTGGTACATTTTGGGATTTAGTACAAGAACTCTGTGGTCTAGAAATATATTTCAAAATGTTAATCCAAACAGAACCCCTCCTTCTCGGCCTCTATGGTATTAAATTTTTTTCTTCTATGCTTTAAAATTAATACGAACGTGCGGGTCATTTTATTAATTTGTAATGACTCTTAAAACATTCCTAAAGCTATTTTTAGATTAAGAAAGTACTAAAAATGACTTAAAATATAAATTAGTGAAGAAATCAAATAACACGAAATGCTCTAATACTCTGATGTTACTCTAATAATAACATTGATGATACTTTACAAATTTATAACACATTGTTTTTTACACGTTGATTTCCATCATTTCAGTGGCCCATCAAAGTCACCTAGAGAAATCAGGCAGCTATCAAACTTATTTTACAAAGGAGGCCTCTGAGTAGTAAAAACACCAAGCGCCAGGTTTCAGGATGCTCAACACACCTCGTGTATAACAGCACCAGGGCCGATCAAATGCAAAAATTTGGAAAACCTGAAGGATGGAAACCCAAACCAGAGATGCTCACACATGGGGTCTCCACCCAGCACCATGGTCTCTTAGCAGGTTTTCTAGATGGTGAGAGTGAAAGCAAGTGGTGCTGGGATGCTGTGCTCAGAAACGACTGTGTCAGGGCTTCCGTGGTTGAGAATCCGCCTGCCAATGCAGGGGACATGGGCTCAGTCCCTGGTCTGGGAAGATCCCACATGCCGCAGAGCAACTAAGCCCAGGTGGCACAACTACTGAGCCCATGCGCTGCAACTACTGAAGCCCACGCGCCTAGAGCCCGTGCTCCGCAACAAGAGAAGCCACCGCAGTGAGGGGCACACGCACTGCAACGAAGAGTAGCCCCCGTTCGCTGCAACTAGAGAAAGCCCGTGCGCAGCAACGGAGACCCAACGCAGCCAAAAAGAAACGACTGTGTCAGTAAGTAGAGCAATCATCCTTGGATACCACAGTGCAGAGAGGGACCTAGATCAGATGTGGAATCTGGTGAGTGGATCCTTCATCCCAGATACGAACCCAACTTTTATCATTTCATCATTAGATTCTAAATATTTTTGAAATGTGTAAGTTTTCACTCTTTAAGAATGAAATATTAGGAGGTAAATAACTGTGTTTACACCTCATTTGCAGCATTTAATGGTTTTTATGGTAATTAGTATTTATGTTTCTGTTATTTCCAACAGAAAGTGAATCCATCCAAGGCCAAGATCACGTCTGTGTCTTCCTCTTCTCTCCAGTGTCTGGCACAGTGCACGGTACCTAGCGGGCACTCAGTACATTTTAGCTGAGTCAGTGAACAAATGACACATCCCGTGAAGGCAGCAGCCTGACAATCGTCTGGAACAGGACCCCGTGAACCAGCAAGGGCATGTGGGGTGCATCCCTGATGGTGGTCCTTGAGGTGAAATCAATTTCTTTCTGTTAATCAGCTCTTCCCTTCACAAAGGAAACTTCTTTGTAACTCAGAGGACGTCATGTGATTTGTAAATACTTTGTTAGAATAAAGCAGAATCATTTTAACGCTAAGAAGCAGCCACAGGTCACGGAAAACTTCCTTTGGCTCTGGGACAACGTAAAGGCCACTCATGGCCCAGAGCCCAGTGATAAAGCTGTGATGAATGAGAAGAGACACAAGATTTAGTAAGTAGCTTTGTATCTCAAGTACGCGTCTTCCTATCAGCTCAGGTCACGTGTGGTCCTAACCCTCAGTGAACATAGCAAATACTCCTTCCCGGTCCTATGTCCCCAGCTTCTCTTTTTAAGGTTCAGGAACTTGTAATTCTGTAGCAGTGGTTTAAAATTGCTTACTGGAGGTATACAGATCAGAGAAATATATAATGTTACTTATCAAAGACTAATTTGAAAATGCCACTTTTCAGCAATATGGCACACTGCATGCTAAGTGCAATTTCTCCGAGGTCTAGATACCTAAAAATGCTGGATGAAATATGCAAGAAAAGTCTTTGCTTAATGGTTGATCTGATGGGAAAGTCAGGAAAATCCCTGAAGGTCAAGGATAAGAAAGAGAAAATCTTACTGGTGCAGGGAGGGAGGAATCTGGTGTTTGCTATGGGGCTATTTTCCTAGTTCCAGGCTGCCCGAGGCCTGGTCTTTACAAGCAGAGATGGGACCTGGGCCAGAGTAGGGTGGAAGGTGGAAAAATCCTCCCAGAAGAGAGAATTGATAAAGAATTGATGAAAAACTTATATGCTGGTCTCAGCCTTCGTCCTATGGTGGAGCAGGTCGGAGAGACAAAGTTCCTCTGAGAATTCCCAACCACTAAGCCTTATGCACAGCATTTGTGAAAAGGATTCATACCACTTGATTAGCTTAAAAATGGACTCACGCCAAAAAGTTAATTTGAAATACTCCCGGATTGGCAGTATACCCAAGAACCTGGCTGAAGCAAAAATATTTTCTGTAGAGTAATGCACTTTAAAAAGACAAACCTCAAAAAGAAAAAAAAAAAATCACACAAATAAAATTCCAAGAAATCTGGGATCACAATAAAAAAGTCACCAAATACAGGCGAAAACAAGCTACCATGAGTGAAAGTGGCAGAAATGCAAAACCGCAGAATTTGACCAGCAAAGACTGTGGAGATTGGAATGATCAGATGCAGAGTACAAAATAAATATGTTTAGTAATACAAATAAATTTATTTATGAAAAAAATAGACTCACAGACATAGAAAATAAACTTATGGTTACCAAAGGGGAAAGGGTGGGGTAGGGGGAGAGCGATAAATTAGGAGTTTGGGATGAACAGATACACCTACTATATACAGACAGATAAACAACGAGGATTTACTGTATAGCACAGGGAACTATATTCAATATCTTATAATACCTATAACGGAAAAGAATCTGCAAAAGAATCTATATATATGCACACACATAAAGATATATGTATGTATACGTATAACTGAATCACTTTGCTGTACACCTGAAACTAACACAATATTGTAAATCAACTGTAGTTTAATTTTTTAAAAAGTAAATCAATAAATAAAATGGCATGGCATCCCGTTCCTCACATGCTCATGGAACCAGCTCTCTTGTCCTCTTGCTGGTTTTCCCATTGATTCCATGAAGAAGACACAGAGCTGTGTCTAAGAATCGTGCCGTGACGGCTACAAAGCTGTAATAGGTTTGCAGTGAGCAGCTGCAGAGGGAGGGGACATAAGTACACATATAGCTGATTCACTTCATCGTACAGCAGCAACTAACACAACACGGTAAAGCAATGCTACTCCGATAAATAAATAAATTTAAAAAAAAAAGAAGTAACAGTGACCATGTCTATTATATTAGGAAGCTGTGCTGTCAGGAGCTCGGAGTAGATCATTTAATTCAGCGATTGTAGCCTTCCTAATAGGTAGGGCTGCTGTCAACTATTTCAGAGGAAGAAACCTCAGTTTCAAGAAGCAAGAGAACTTGCCTGGGGCCACAGAGACTCAGCAGCAGGTTCAGCGTATAACCCCTGGGCGCTCTGATTTCAGACCCCGTGCTTTTGCTGCTACAGTTTCTTTCACGATGACGTCACATGTCACAGAGAGGACTAAGGGTTGAAGGCCATGGCACTGTCACAGAGTGGTTCCACACCCTGAGGCCGAGGGGCGGGAAATCTCTGCTTCCTCTGCGCCCAGCCGACGCCCTCACTCTCTCCACCACTCTTTGACCCACTGCTGTGTGGCTGGATCTCACTTCTGCCTGACCTGCTGAAACTGTTCTCAGAAAGGACACGAGTGAGGCCACAGTTGCCAAAGCCAATGCCTTTTCTCTGTCCTTTTCATCTCTGATAGTCCCACTGCCCCTAACACTGTGGGCTTCCTTCCTCCTTGGTAGAACAGAGCCACGGAGAGCGCCCAAAACCTCTCAGGAGGCCTCCGCCCGCATCAACATTA